CATCCCCACTGAAAAGAGAGCGAGCACTTCTCTGTCCTTGCAGGGTGGACACCATAATTTTGAGTGCTCTTAACCTTGCCTGGCTTTGGTGAGATCGGGGGTCCTTCCTTCACTTCCCTTGAACGCGCTGCGAGAAAATGGAGTGTTTAGAATTCAGTGCCGGTGACTGCGTGGACTTGAATGAATTCAAAGATTTTTCAAAAATGCTCCCCAGAAAGTTATCACTCCACACAAATAAAAGATAGATAAAAGTGCTTCATTGTAACCTGAATATGTCCTATCAGCTTTTATTTTAAAGCCTGTCGTGGGGGCACTTAGGTCCCCCAGTCTATTTCCACCTAAGGAGCAGAGAGGATTTCACTGCTTGGGAGAGAATAATACAAGGAGAGAGGAGCAACTGATTGAATGTCTGCTAAGCAGTTCAGGGTGAGCTGTGGCTCCTGAAAAGTTTGATCCCATTTGATCAAATCAGGTAAGAACAATGGCTGAAAGATTAATCTGAAATATGACCTCATAAGGCAGCGGAATAATTCCACAAGTGCTTTTTAATATCCTTTCATCTATCGAAGCTGTATGTTTGGATTAAACAAATTCTGAGGGCCTGACCGTGAAGACAGACTTTGTTTTGTCAAAGCCTATATGAAACTGATTGTCCACATTTATTAAGGAACCTCGGAGGAAACCATGCAGGGCTTTTATTGCACATTCCTTGTTCCTGCGCTGTTTACAAAGTGGTGGGTGGGTGTTTGTCAGGTGTAAGTTTAAACGGCAGGTTCCACACACACACAGCATCTGGGAACGAGCCGGATGCCCATTGCACTTCGCAAAGTGGCACTTCCTTCCTCTACACACTCCAGACTATGCGTTGAACTGCTGCCTGGCAACCATCTGGACAGGACCCAACAGTTGTGATTGTGTGTGTTGTTTTAGTGCGTGTGGCCAGGACAACGTCACTGTGGGATTGCCACTAATGTCTGGCACAGGTATGCATTGATGACAGACTCTTGACGGCCATAAATTCTCAGTGTGTACATTATTGTCATATATGAGCTGTGTGAGGCTGTTGCACACGTGGGTGTGTACCGTTCATCTGTGTGTGTGTGTGTGTGTGTGTGTGTCTGAATTCAACTCAACTCTTGTTAGGAAATTCCACGCCACATTATTGGGTTGTCTTGGTGATTGCATGGCTCCATTCCCAGACTGGATCTCAAGGGATTAAAATAAAAGAAAAACTCCTGAATGATCACTCATCAGTTAACACGGTCAACAAGAGCGACGCTTTTACTGTTCAAAGCTGAGATTAATTGAAGAAAGTTACTACATTAAAAATGCATATTTAAGAATATCAAAGGCTCACATAAATTAACAGAAATGGAATATTTTGGCTTAGTTAAGTTAGTAAAATATTTATGGCCCTAGCCTGTCCACTGAAATTTGTGTTTTGCATTTATAACTAGATTTGATGACATGAATAATGAACTCCCCCTAACTCTTTGCATCTTTAAATGCAGCTTTTCACCACGGCGTTTATTGTTACTTTCTTGTCCTTCCTTCAAATCAAGACCTGATATCAATTTGATAATGATTACAAGAGAAAGGGGCAGCTGGATGAAGACCAGGCTGCTGCCTTGGTGACGGCCGGGGAAGCCGCGGCATCGGGCCGAAGGTGATGCATCATGGTCATCCTCGCAGGGAGGCAGTGGCAGGGCACAAGTAAACACTCTTAAATCATCATCCTGGGACAGATGCGGTGGGAGGGTGGGTGGGGGGTGGGGGTGTCACATGACCCCTCCTGCCATCCCCTCTGCCTCTCCCTCAGCACACACCATCAACAGTCAGAGCAGAAAGACAAATGTGACAGAATCCAAACAGCATTTGTGCAACAATCTGAAAATAAGTTCAGATTTTCTTCTTTTGTTTGAATGACTCTCAAAAGACAAAAGACAGACATGGGACACAATACTATGAGATCATGTGGGAAGTCTTATTCCATATGAGCCAGACAGGATTATGACAGAGAATTACAGTGAGTGGTTTTCGTGGTAACACCTTTTCGTCAAGTCATTCTTCGTCTGTGGGTGGTAACAGTTTTAGTACAGTGACTGCATGTGCACAACAATTGTAATATCAACTGTAAACTTCTGTAGGTGGCCTTTTTTCAGATTCAGCTTCAGTATTTCAGAGTAAAAGACTCTTCTTTCCAAGTCATATCAATTTAAACAAACGTTGTGTCCCTGTTAATTCTGTGTAAAGGAGATCCTTTGGCTTGCTGTTGAGCTTGTCTGGACAAGAAGCATGGCATTTTAGCGAACACCATATTCTTGTAAAACAAGATTCACATAAATAAATGCATGGCACTCTTAGCTGCACAGGAGGTCTTTAGCATCATGTTGTTCATAACATATGATCTTAGGGCTTTTAAGTCACTTTGCAGCCACGCAGACAGCTGAACAACAGATAAATATTTTTCAAGGTGAGCGCTGAAAATACAGCACATTTGAAGCCATTTCTAAAATAAGACCAGGGAAACAGAGCATAGAGAGCAGATTGGAGTGCTCTTTTTAAAAATATGAAAGATGGAAGAAGAAAGACTGCACCCCTTGATAATAAACAGCAAGTTTATGCTAAAAAGAAAAAGAAGCTCCCTACCCCCTCCTCTCTTACAGCCTGGTTTCTGCGCTTTCTGCTAACACACGCGCGCACGCGCGCGCGCACACACACACACTCACACACACACACACACACTCCTCCCTTAGCCTATATAAGCAGACAGCAGCTGAGCTGACCCCCTCCACCCTGCATTCTCTGCTTTATTACACATACAAAAGCTGCCTTCGCAGCTTTAAAATACATGTGGATGATTTTGTTGGTTTCTAAGTAAAACTTAAAGTAAAAGAGGATCTATTTTCCACGGACAGAGTGAGCAATGCGAGGAGAAAGCCCCGCATTGTAGAGAGAAAGGGCTGAGCAGAGCAGGGAGCTGCTGCTTCCCATCCCCCACATTCACATAGCAAAGTTCTGCTGCTTTTGCAAGCGGTGATGCTGCCTTCACGTGCTCCACCCGAGGCTCGTGAACGCACAATGTCGCAGCATTCGGGTGCTTTATGGTTGGAAATAATACACTTTATGCTATTACATAAGCAGGAGTTTGTTTTCTCAGCGTGTTGCTTATTTTTGTGTGTGTATCTCAGAGCTGCTTCACGAAATTAAAAGCAGAATATACATCAATGGATTAGGGAATAGAAAAACAAAAGCTTATTGCCTGCAAGCATGTTTTGCATGTCATGCAACTAAAAAGCACACTTTCCATATGAACAAATATAAACTATATTTTATAAATATTTCTATTCCTCTCAGTTGTCAAGAACTGTGTGAGTGTTGATTTATTAACACAGAAGATATTTAATACTTTTGTATATTTTCATTAATTTCATATGATCTTGTGTTGAAGTAGATTCTGATAATGTCTATATAAACCTACATTAACCTAAATGTTACCTTTCAGCCGAAATCACTGTGTCTGATTTATTTGATGTGTTTTGGTGTATATATAAGAGGCCTTTAACACACTGCAATGACTCTAAATTATCACACCGGCAACTATGGTAGGCTGTGGTACAATGTTTCAGACTTTCCTTCAACGTTTAATATGTGTATGTCATTCCTTTCTGACTCAGGGCGTGATTACAGAAATTCCGACAGCGCTTGAAGGCTGCACGAAGGCTGCTGCTGCTAAGAGAGCGCGAGGCAGGCAGGCAGAGAGCACGAAGAAAGGGGGTGGGGAGAGAGAGAGTGGTGGAGAGACATAGGATGTCTATGCCTATTAATTGTAAAGGGCGATTTTATGCCTTCCCCAAATCTCTTCTCGTTCTCGTGTGTGTTGGCGTGAGATTTGGCTTTTAACAGAGAGTGATGTGTTGATTTCCAGTGGCCTATACACTGTCACTTTTCCACCACCACCACTGTTTCTCTTTTTGTATCTTCACTTCCTGCTCTGTGACTGGCTCAGTCCATCCCCCATCCTTCTTCTTTTTCTATCTTCTCTCTCTCTCTCTCTCTTTCACTCACTCACACATACACACTGCACAGGTTGTGATTTCATGCTTTCCTCTACTTTCCTCCATACTCACTCTTCTCATTTGCTGTTGTCGACACATGGAAGCAGTATGGAAGCAGTCACTTCCATCCATTAGCCCACTCTAAAAGAAGAACCCTATTTTGTTCTGCTCCTCTAACGAGGTGCACAAATGAATGTAACAAAGAGGAACACACAGCCCATGCATGAAGCAATTTTTGGAATCAGAATGGTTGAATAGTTATTGTTGACTTCAAGGCAGATTAGTATGGTAAAAAAAAAGGACATTTCACTAGTTTAATAGCATAAAACTGTAGACACAAAGTCTGTGGCATTTTGCAGTGTTGGACAGAAGCCTTCTATATGAAAGCCTGTGACCATTTAAAACATATTTGACCAAAGGGAAATGTATCAGACTCTCTCTGGTCTTTGCTGAGGCCAGGGATGTAAAACATTTAAGTTTAGGTCTTAGAACAGACATAGCTATTTAGCAAGTTTATAGCCATAGAAAACACAATGCAGCATCCAAGCATAAATTATAGACACTAGTTCTGTATAACTGTGTAGATTATCCAAATAACATGAAATAAAGTCACTAATAAAAAGCCCATTTTGTAAAAAAAAAAAAAAAAAAAAGTATAATATTTATAGGATCTTCGAATCTAAATCTCACTGACTTCAGACAGCCTGCTGAGCATTCTCATTAGCATAAGCTTTATAGTCTCTGAATGACCAGTACTTTATGCTAACAGACAGGGCTTTTCGAATACGTCGACGTATTTATGTATGAGCTCAGTTTAAAGCGCATTAGACCTACAATAATGGCTCTACTTGGGTACAAACAATGTTGTTATTAGATGGTCCACACAGTCCGGATCCAGTTTTCACGCAGGACTCCACTCCGGGTTTTTATTTTCTCGCGACAGGTCGGTAAGATGGCTGTGTCTCGCGGAGCCTCGTGCTGGTTTGGTTGATTTCTAGCTCGCGCTCTCGTTCTGTAACAGAAGCCCCCCCCTCCAACACACACACACACGCACACATTCACTTGTGTCGGTGAAATTTATTTCCCTGGCTCTGTATTTATATATTTTTTCTTTCACAAACTTTCCCCTCTCTGTTTTAACTTTAAACGGAGTCGCGGTGGATTACCGGATATCGGTCCGGGCGGAGGGCAAAGGGGGGAATGAACCGGGACGACGGGTACGTTGTTATAAATATAATTGTATTTATATTCAATGGTTATTCGGAGTTTGATTGTGAGTGAGTCGCCGTGCTGAGAGAGAGAGAGGTAGAGAAAGAGTGGGGGAGAGAGAGAGGGATATCATGGCCGCTCAGGTCGCCAGCGTCGCCACTCTCAACACTAGCCCGCCATCCGAACTCAAAAAGCCGGATCGGGACCCACAGGAGGAGTCGGTACCGGGAGAGAAACAGCATGAAAATAAGGAACCGGGACCTGACGGCGGATCTCCTGGCCAGAAGGAGCTGCAGGACGGGGCCGATGCTGGAAATGCTGGGGGAGGAGGGGATCCTGACATGAAGAACGGCAACGGGAATTTGCCCAGGGTAAATAATAGCAGTAATCAGAATGATACAGGCGGGCCCGAAGGGAATAACCATCCCGGCATGGGACACCACCACCCGGGCCCCTTTCCTCCACCTCCTTACGGTTACAACCAGCACTACAGCCGGGCCCCTTTTCATCAACATGGCGGACAACAAAGCCCTGGCATGGCAGCTGCATCGGGGCCGGGCATGATGGACCCTTACCCCCCTAATTCACACGAGCACGGCTACCCCAACCATTATAACAACTACAGCCCGTTCCAGAACAGGACTTCTTATCAGGGCCAAGGATACGGGGCCATGAATTCCCCGCGTAACAACCAGCCTCCGGCGGCTGGGGGGCAGCCAGGCAAGCAACAGCCAGCAGGAGGAACCACAGCTATGGCTGCCTCTTACAATAATCAGAGGTATAACATGGGAACCCAACAACCTACGTCTACGCCAACTTTAAATCAGCTCTTGACATCCCCCAGCTCTGCCAGGAGCTACCCGAATTACCCTCAAGGAGACTATAACAATCAGGAAGGGGCCAATAAGGGACCAGGAGATATGGGCAGCAGTCAGTATGGTGGGGTCCATCCGGGTTGGCAACAAAGGACCCACCATCCGCCTCCCATGAGCCCGGGAAACACTGGACAGCCTCCAAACAGAAATCAGGTAAACTTCACTTACTGCACTGAGACAGCTGACTGAGTTAAAGTCACCCAGTATCTCAGAAAAGCCACTGTAGAGTTGCATATTGCATTGGACCAGCCATTGTCTATGTAGCAAGAGCTCTAAAATGGCTGCCTCTCTCTTTCTCCCAACACCACCCCCTGCAATAGTCTTTAGACAGAGAAAGAAGCCGCATATTCTGTTAGAAACAACTTTCTGGGTTGTGGTTGTTAGTGCGTTTCCCTGCTGGGTACAGGGCAAGAGTTTCACTAAGTAGAGCAAGAGTTTGTCAGGAGAAAGTGTGTGTGTGTGTGTGTGTGTGTGCGTGCGTGCAGAGGGAAATAGGGTGATATTTCTTCGCAGTGCTTCTTCAGCCTCATCGTACATCTAAGTGCTGAAACCACTGTTATTTCTGTGCGAATCGGCGAAATCGCGTCCTTTTTTTTTTTAGTGTTGTGCTCCCAACGGCGCTATCAAAGTTGTGTCAATGGCTGTCAAGGCAATCAACAAGATGCAAATGACAGCGAAAGCCGTTAAACAGCATTTGCATAATCATTAAGAAAAAGACCCCTCTTGTCAGTGAAAAAGCCGCTGCACAGTGAAGTGATGTGTCTCGCAGTCCAGCGAATGGTAACTATTACATCCGCTAAGTGTTTACTCGGATCAAAGTGTGATTGTGACCGCGATTGATTCATCCAGACGGAGGGTTTCATTCATTGTGGCTCGGTTCGAATCCGCTCGCTTCGTCCTGCGCGTCTCCTCCATGTGCCGCCTTTGTAAACACGGCCCCGCTGGTTGGAGTTGGCAAAGTGCAGATTGCCTTTGCTTTGGGATTTGAATTATGGAGGTAAAATCCTGCTGTCAGAGCCAGGAGACAGTTGGTCTTAGGTTGACATGCGAGCCGAGATCTGATTGGCTCCCCATCCCTCTGCTCTCGGCCATTTATAATTGCATCTAATGGAAGGCTGCAGAAAAACAGCCCCCTCTGCCCGGCTATGTGTTCTTCCACCATGTCAAGACAACATAGTCCCGGTGTTTTTTCGCTGTTTTTATTAATTTCGAACTTTATTGTATGCATTTGTGTAGTTTTAAAAATATATTTTATATTTTTGTATATAAATATATCTGACTGTTCTCCCGCATCAGCATACAAATACACTAGAAAAACCAATAATAATTTCAGAATAATAACTTACTCATTGGTTGCATTTACTGAGAGCATTTGGTATAGTTCCTCCGCTGCAGTAATTTGCATGATGACTACTCATGTGGATGTACCACTGTTTTTATTTGTTTCATTAAAGCTTAAGCTGGCTTGTGCTGAGTCACATCTCTTCTGTCATTTTTAGCTGTTGACCTCAGGCATGCGTGTGTGTGTGTGTGTGTGTGTGTGTTTGTATGTGTATATTATTTTTTATTTTTTGCTGATGTGTACACTCTGTGCACTGCTTGTTCAAGTTGGCTGACTCTGGTACAGCAGATAGAGTAGGTGTGGCCATGTAGTCCCATTGTACGACTGTGTTTTCCACTGTTTCCAGATCAGGAGTTGAGGAAACTTGTGTGCCAGAGCGGTGTCATGGCCACGTGAGAGAGTTGGGACCGGCTGCAGTTGTGTTTACAAGCAACCAAGGTGTCAGCCAGGTGTCACAGCGCTTTATTTTTTTTCTCATCAGGTTTACAATAGCCTAATTTACTTCCCACATGCAGAGAGTGTATCCATGTCAACAGTGCCTAACTACATCTCTCTCTCCAGTGACAACAGCCACATGTGTAGTGCTTTTACTCTACAGTTGGAGTATGTAGCTCTACCTTTTAGAGTAAAGAAATATTTGTATCATTTAAACACGTGTGAAGGATCTCTCAATTGTATACCTGTCAGAAATTGGGCATGTGGTCTAATTTTTTTGGTCTAAGGGGGAGTCACTTTGACTCCTCCGAATGACAGTATTTTATATGCATTCTCTCCAAATATTCAAATAATAAGCTTTCCCCTTTATCAGGAGATGTTGCATCAGTATTCTGACCAAAGGTGTGCTGTATGTGTGTTGGTATATTGGTTTATTTCAACAAGAAGGTAGGCGTACTGTGTTTTACTCCTTTTATTTCCAGCAAAGAGGTGATCATTAAGCACAGACTGTTCATCTGGAAGTGATGGCACCACTTGTTGCCTGAAACTTTAAAGGTGCAAGCTTTTCACACACATTTGTTGACGCTTCTCTGCATCAAAACAAGCCAAACTGTGGGCACTTACAGCTGCACTTCGCACAGTCATAACTCTGTCTGAATGTCAGCAAAAAGGGTTGGGGTCAAAATGTTTAACCCAAATGTCCAGATATTCTGCGACCTGACATCAGCGGATGTAGACGGCATGGTCATATTGACTAACCGGGTTGATCTGTGATTCTTAACAAAACTGTACTAAAGGTACTAGTCAGTCCTTATTTTTTCCTGTAGTGCAGCTTGCTGCTGTTTAGAAGAGAGTTTGGATTTCCCTTTATTTATTTAATTTTGGTACTTGTGTGCAGAGAGGGGTCCATACCTAAAGGCCAGCTTAAAATTTTGCCAGACAAGGTGAATGGACAGCACCCTAGTTAGTGTGGATGTGGTGCTTTTCTCAGTTGAAGCTCCTTTTTGAACACCAAGACGAGCACATCTTTACAGTCAAGTGTGCATTCAAACTTAAAACATGTATTTTCATGCTCTGGTTGGGCTGGTTCTTTTGTTGTTCTTTTCAGTTAAGTCAATATTAAAAATCTTGCACTTATTTGCGGCCATGTCTTTAGTGAGACTACTGAGGTGACCATGTGGGTTATGGTCTTTTTATTGACTTTGCATTTAGTGAATAGCATGATATGTAATTTAGGGATGCACCAAATGTTTGGCCACTGAATTTAATCGGCCGAAAATGGCAAAAAAAAGAAGCACTTTCGGTGTTTGGCCTAATACGTCTAAAGACCGAATAAATTTCACCGAACAATTACGTTGACATTTCGAGAGTGTGGAAGCATTTCTGTGTCTGAGAAAGACGCAAAAATCAGCGTTCGCAGACACTGGTCTTTTGAATTGTCTCCTAGCACATTCACTCTGTCCGTGGCTGACTTCTTAGAAAAGGCAACAAACGTTCTGAATGCTTTGAGTGTTTCTGTCACTCGTCTGTGAGAAGGCAATTAAGCTAGCCGCACCTAAAGTTGGAGTGCACAAGTATTAAAGCCTTTTTGGTAAATCCACTGAAACGGACCAGTGCGAGCTGACAGGCAGGTTAGAGACTTTATCCTGTCAGTTTCTCTCTTTACAAAGACAAGTGTTGCAGAGAGTCCTACCTGAAGAGAGGCTGTGAAGTCTTGATGTTACGCCGTACGAGAACCACATACAACATTATTTATCAAACTGGGTTGGACTTGATGAATTTAGCGCGAGGATACACATGTGACAACGTCCGGTTTTCAAAATAAGGTGTCTATATAGTATGGAAATAAGATTAATTAAAGGAAATTCACAGAAAGTATAAACACATGTAATTTACTTCACCGGACCCTCTCGGGCCTTGGACCCACCCCCCATAGTCTCTCCAAATCCTTTGGGAAACACTGAGTAAAAAGCACATTTTGACTATTTAATTTATGCAATGGTAAAAAAAGAAAAGGCAAAATAAATGGAAAAAATGTGAAAAACTTTGTTCGGTATTCAGGAAAGTTTTTCACTATATTATCTAAATGTCTCAGAGAGCAGCGTGCAAAGAAACCTGCCGCCACTTTTCTTGAATTAATGGGTGTAGTCGTGCTCCTTGTAGGTGACAGATTGTGTTAGTGACAGCACTGAATTGCAATTAAAGGTGAAAACGGGGTTGTGATTAGAATAGTTTTCTAGTAAGATTTATTTGTGTTCATATCAACTATATTGTCATCCCAGCGCTCTGAACCCGTCTTGATTGCTAGATAGCCGTCCATGCAGGTTTTTTATGTGGGCTTAAGTGCTGTCAGAGCAGTTCTTTGCTAAGGAAGCTCAGCCTCACTCTTATTGTGCGAGTGGAAGAAGAGTGTCTGGGAAGGTAATTGAACATTTTGGTTGTTAAGCATACTTAAAGGTAGCAGAAGCTGTATTTTTGCAGAATGCAAACGGGTTGTGGCCAACTCTCATTAGGAAGAAGTAGAATCACTTTAACTTTTGCAGGAGTTTTATTTTGTCTAGGTGTCAGTGGTGCAGGTTTAGAGAGCGCACACCTTTTTTAATGGATCTAATCCCTGGAGGCGAGACTGCTCAGATGGGCAAATGGACAGAAAGAAGAAGTGAATAGTTTCCATTTTTGGAGCATAAACTGTTGTTAAATCATGGTGTGGATATGTCGCATGAGGCCATGTGCGAGCACATTATGTCCAGTCAGAGAACTTATGTGTTTGATGTTTGACTGCAGAGATGGATGCGGTAGCCAGTATACTTAAGTTCAGGTGGAGAGTTTTTTTCCCTGCTGAAGAGCTGGCCATGATAAGTTCTGTTGGCTGTATTTTAGCAATTTATGAAATACTTAAGCTCTCCATTCATTAACAGAGGCAAGATTGGCCTTTTAATTTGCTGATATATCGCCGGTAGTGATTGGATGGATGATTTTAAAAATTTTTTATGGGGCCACTCACCTGCCTTGGGCCACTGCTGAAGATGAATTAATGTGTTAACGGAGTGGTGTTAACTGAGTGGTAAGTTAGATGGCTAATAATATGTGGTTTTTTATAATGCCTTCCACATAAAACAAATGAAGTGGGTTGTAGTGTGGTTGTTTTGGATGCTGTAACACCAGGTGTTTCCCTCTGCCTAGCACATGGGAGAGAGCCGTCGGGGATGCCCCCTCAGCTCTGCAAGACTGACTTCCCAAATTGAGTTTGAATTAAACCATAATCGAAGACACTTTGTAAATATTTCTGTGAGAAAGTCCCACAGTTGAAAACATAATGAAAAATGCCAAACCAAGGGTGTTAAATTGACTGCCGCTAATAGACGAACAGCTCTGC